TCGACAAGAGAGAGAGCCAAGAGGGGCACATACTATATATAAGTAACCCATAACATGTCCGTGTGGGGAACAATAACCGCAACTGTAGTTCCTAGTTTGGATTGTGTCCCAGTGGTTAAATAGGTGGTCACCACAGCATCATCTTCAATAACGTTACTATTATACAGTATAAATATTCACCAAAATTATTCCAAACCATATTCTTCCAAACTCTCTGCTGTAGTATGACCAACAGGAGACTATTGATGTGTGTGGTGAGTTTGGTAGAAATATAAGAGTAACGTTATTGAAGATTATACCATATTTATTGAAGATTTTACATTAGAAATATTCCCCAAAATTATTCAAAAGCACATTATTCCAAACTCTCTGCTGTAGTATGAGCATCAGGAGATTATTGATGTGTGTAGTGAGTTTGGTAGTAATATACTGTATAATAGTGAAGTGATTGAATATTATTGTATTCTCTTTTTTCGGTGTTGCACTTTGCAGACGGTCCCTCAGCACTCGTTTCTTCTCCGGCTGCGGAAAGAGACCAATTTAATGTGTCCAGTTTGGAGGACAGCACATATTGGCTTTTTTTTATCAACATGTGATTGTAATTCGTTGTCAACCTTACCACGGTACTTAGGAGACGAAATTTGTGTCTGAATAACGTTTTGTTCATGAGTTATTGATCCGTGAAAGAAATCTGAATCTGCCAATATCGTTCGAACTTTACTCAACTTCCACACCGAGGGAGAGGCCTGCCGATGCGAAGCCTTAAGAGGCTTCAACAACGGCCACAGCCGCCGGCGTAGTGACACAGTCTGTAGTAGTAGCAGAGTGATTTTATAGCAATTGATCGAATCCGCGCTGCTGCGCCAGTCAACAGAGCGTGTGTGTGATATATTTAGTAGCAGGATGTGCACTGAAAAATAGGGCTCCCCCGAAAGCAAATGGGTAATTCGAACACTGGCTAAATCCATGCCAAAAGTAATGATCATTTGAAAAAATAAAATGTATTTGAAAGTTCAAGTTTGTTTTTAACCTGACTTTGAATGAAAAAATACACGGAAAGTTGCTTCAGGTTAAATAGTGTTTTGATTCAGTTTCATTCTGAAACAGGAAAAATAAGAACCTGACAAAAAATGTTTTAAAATCTTAAAAATCTGCAACTGAAAAAAATACTCAAATATCAAGATATATAATTATGTGAAATGTGAAATTTAATAATTTCATTCAAATTAATTACTAAACTGAATACAAATATTTAACATGAAAATCTTTTCATATACTTATTTTTAGTTAGAATACATTGGATTTTTAAAGTTCAGGATCAAAACTTTGAAATGCATTTTATTTTTTCAAATAACCCAAACTTTTGGCCAGATTTAGATCCATAGTTGTATTTGCATGTTTATCTTATACCCATTGGACTTGAGGTCTACGAGTTAAATAGGTAAGGAAAATATACAGCATAGTTCCACTCGAATTGTAGTTGAATAAAGGCTTGAGTAAATTTTTTATTGACTATCTAGATATCAAACCTGATAGCTCTTCTGGACTTAAACTAATGAATATTTTTGTATGCATTTACTGCCATGGATCCCTTGTAAAACAGAATATAGCACAGATCCTTTCATGCATGACCCTTAGAATAATTTGACAGGTTATTTTTGATCCGTGTGAAAAACAAGAGAAATGTGTTTCACATGGATATTTTTATTTAAGGATTTTTAAGAGCTTGATTTAAAGTAATCAATAGATTTAAATGTGTATTTAACTATGAAGCCTTTCTTAAAATAAAATATAATTTTAAACATTCCACTGTAAAAGTCATTGGACTAAAATGACTGCAGAAAACACTGTAAAGCTCAAGAGCTCCCTCTGCTGGACATTTAATTTAGTATTATTTCAGAAGACCGATCATTTTCAGATTTACATCCTCAATTACCATCGGATTAGAAATTAAATTGCAAAAAAATAGGTATAGCAATAGTATGCGGTCCTTTTGTAAATCCTACCATCTGTAAGGGATTATCACAAAGAATTAAGAGTAGATTAAACACCAGGATATATTAAGTGTATATATTCTAAAGTTTAGAGTATATACACTTGACAACCATGGTTTAGTCTAAATGTTCTTTTCCTAAAACAAATTCAATCATGACATTTGATTTTGCCAATTTACAACTTCACATACAAGGCAACATACCTCACCTCTAGTGAGTGGCCCAGCCCTTCGTATGTTTTTCTGTATGTGGCCATCAGTGAAAAGGTTTGGACACCCCTGCTCTAAAATATAAGATCAAGCATATTCCAACCTTGGAACTAAACCTGATGAAAAGTTTTCCAAAATTCCAAAAGTTGTAAAAAGATTAAAAGCTTTTTAAATCTAGTTTGTTTAAAACATTAAGCCCATTGTGTTGGTTTTAAAAGCATCACCATTTTGAATGAGCAGCCACCTGAAATATTTTTCTGAGATCAATTATTCTATAAAGATGCAACTTCCTTTGGTCCGTCCTCATCCGATATTAAATTGGCATGATAGCTCAGGCAGTTTCTAAACTAGCAGCGTTGTTTTATTTACATCCTTTCCGTTATCGCTGCTTAATTTTTGGAACATTTTTAAGGAGTTGTGGATATGAATAGCAGTGATAATATACCCTCATGTATGGACTGAAACTATGCTGACCTTCACTTCTAACTCACTGGTACGATCGAGTTGTGCGGTATCATGTTGGTGGTAAAATGCTGACTATGATGTTACTATGGCTTTAAGACAATCTTATAATTAATAAGAAATATATTTTTTTAAGTTTCTATGTAATAAAAAACAAACATTTCAATTGTCAAGGCAACTTTTCAGTTTTACTTTCTTCATTTTTTGAATTAACAAAAAACCGTTGGGACTTTGTGGAAACAAACGTTAAGGCAAAATAAACTTCAAAAGGCAAAGTCACAAATGCAGCAACATGATGTCAACAACAGAATAAAAAACCAAGAGGGAAGGTGAAGGGGGGTCATTTGAATCTCCATCAACAGGACTGTGGAATGGCGATGGGGTTTCAGGACGAGCAGAAAGGGTTAAGAGCTCCAGCTCAGAGCTGCCCGCAGTCGGCGATGGCGAGCCTGCCATTGGTTTTACCGCTCTGGGTGCCTTTTTTCTCCATTGCCGCCACCACGTCCAAACCCTCCACCACGGCGCCGAACACCACGTGCTTTCCATCGAGCCTACACAAATACACACATAGATGTTAATGAGCAGCTGTGGTAACACATGGAAACTACATATTTGAGAAAACCACCAAACAAGCACCTGGTTGTGCTCAATTGTATTATTCCGCAGGCCATGATAACTTTTCCCGTCTTTGTTGTGTGACTAATGGGGACAACCATTTTTGAAAATGTGTCGAGCTGCCTTTTCTACAGCCTCTATATAGATCCACTAAAAAGTGCTTGTTTTTCGCAGCCAAGTCAAATACTTCAATCCCAGTTCTCTTAGGTGTCCAACAGTTTAGAAAGGACACTACATAGGTCACAACCCATTTACCTTTAGCTTGATATGGTAGGTTTTTAAAAATTGTATAACAAAGTCTTCACCGGAGAAGTCTGATTCTAAAAAGGTCCGACACACCAATCTGACACCAAAGAACACGTCCTGACGGACCCGACTGTTGTGTCGCCTCACGTCTCCTGCGTCTTGACCAACAGTCGCACTGGAACACACCGCAAAGACTTCAGCCGACGGCCAAGTTGCACGTACGAACTGCACATGCGTGAGTGGCAATAACTCTCCTTACCAGAAGGCGGCGGTAGTGTGTATTCGTCATTCAAAAAAACCGGAAGACAGACAGCGTGATATAAAAAACAAATAGCGTGTGCGTTCCATTTTCACTCTACAGCGAGAAGCTCATGGGGCTTTCACGCACCTGTGTCGAGAGCCGGAGTTAAATGAAATCTCAGATTTGCCCTAATCTCAGATGTTGCCTAATAGTTTGTTTGGGTCCTTCACTCCGATTAGCTCTCACTGATTCGCTATGCCTGAACAGCCTATCAGAGTGATTTCTTTAGCCGACAGCCTTTTACCGACAGCCTAAGCGGAAGGTGTTCGGCACGGCCGAGAAGACACGACGGGGCGGGACACACCAATCTGAGTAGAGCGACAGGACGCTCATCGACGGCAAGACATCTATCAACGCCGAAAATCGGCCCGGTGTGTAGGGGCCTTAAAACTTGAGGTGGTTAGGCTACTTCGACGTTTTGGAATTCTCCGTGAAACTAGCATTTTAACTAAAATGTGTGATAATTGTATACATTTTGATGGGTTAGGGGTACTTCTTTCAAAGCCACGTCTTTTTGCAAATACGGTTTGATTAATAGAGTGGTGCAGTGATGACGTATTTTTGTAAGTCGAACCGGAAGTAAGCCGGATAATCTCTACGTCTACCCTACTTTTATAATTTTCTAATCAGAAATCTATCGATTAGATATTCGAAAAAGTAGGGTAGACATGTGGAGATTATCCGGCTGAACAAAACAGGTTCGTTTTGCAGTTCTTATTTTTTTTTTTTACAATATTCCAAAATCCTATTGCTTTTTCGTCGAGGGAACCCATGCGCAGCTTACTTCCGGGTCGGCCTACAAAAATACGTCATCACTGACCCACTATGGCATCCATGTTTTACACAAAAAAAAAAAAATCTGTAATAAACACATGCTATATTATTCCCAAATCAAGTCACATTTCCACCTTTCTCTGCAAACAGGGCACCTTTTGAAGACTTCAAAAGAGACGGCTTGAGGCAGACTTTGTTAGATGCAACAAAACGGGCCAAATCATCACTGTAGGGTCCTTCCATTATGTTGACTGACATTTTTCATAACCTGAGCTTTAAAAGTAGCTTTTAGTGGAGGTGCATTAAATTAACAGTGTTCAAAAAGTGTTCCTCACTTACAAAAAACTGGGGTCCAGGATAATAAATTAAAAAAGTGTTGCCTAAATGCATATTATTATTATTATCTTTATCTGGACCCTGAGTCTGTAATAAAGTTCTCATTCATTCATAAGACATACCCAAGATACTTTTCTTACCATGCGGTTTTGGCTGTGCAGATAAAGAACTGGGACCCGTTGGTGTTTGGTCCAGCGTTGGCCATTGACAGGATGCCGGCGGTGGTGTGCTTCAGGGTGAAGTTCTCATCACCGAACTTGTTACCGTAGATGGACTTTCCACCGGTTCCGTTGTGGTTGGTGAAGTCACCACCCTTTGTGTTGAACAAACAAGCTAATTATTAATAACTAGAATTCGACAAACCTACCCAGAAAACTCTGCCAATAGTCAATGTACACAATGTATGCATGTGTTGCATTAGCCTAGTGAGGAACGGTGGAGAACTTGCAAAAGAGACCTTTCAGTGTCTTTCATGTGCGTTACATGCGGAGATGGTACAACTGGTGATTTGAATTATTTAAAATGAAGAAATAACATGCCATCTGAAGTAGTTTAAATGATTTGATACTAAAACAGTTTAGATAACAGAATAATTACCCAAAATTAACAATTGTGTCTTGCTTCAATTTTTCCAAGAGTGAGAGGTATTCTATCACATAATTGGAAATCTTCAGCCAAAGACTGGAAGGCATTAGCCTTGGCTACAGGACTGTAATACAAACTTTTCATAAACAAGAAATAATCTATAGATTAATCAAAATAAGTTCTTAATCAAAGCCTCTAAGAAAGCACTGACGAAGTAGCTGGTACATGGCTGCATTACCTGGCACATGAAGTCGGGGATGATGCGGTGGAAGATGGAGCCCTTGTAACCAAAGCCCTTCTCACCAGTGCAGAGGGCACGGAAGTTTTCAGCGGTCTTGGGAACAACATCGTCCCGGAGCTGCAGAAAAATGAAAGAAATTCATAATTACAGCCAAAAAGTAATATCTGTTGAGTTGTTTACTGTGTTGAAATGTGCAATACTGGGCAAGTATCCAAGATTACATTGACATTTTCAAATATGAAAACAGATTCACGCAAGGGCACTTGAGATTACTATTTGTTTCTTTAAAAAGGCAGTGAACATTAGCAGTAGTCTCATGTGCGAAAAAGACGAAATATAGTCTGTTAAGAAAATGTCCAAAGGGCACAAATGGGTTGCAAAGTTATTCTTTAAAGAGAAGGTAGAGGCTGGGAAATCAGTAACTAGTCATTTGGGGTGTAGCCATTGAGGCAGCAAGCCAAAACTAAATTGTGTTCCGATTCTGTGTACAAGGATAAATCAGTACACGTTTTGCTAATAGCCCAACTGTATGTAGATGTTCGGAGGCTTTGACATCCTTAGCCTGGTCGATCAACTGTTTTTTAAAACTTTTTTTCCCTCTGGTTTTGCCCAATGCCGGCATCTGTAGAAATTCCAGAAATGTGTCAAATCGTGTGGGCACATAACACTGTTTTTCCACAATGCATGGTCAACTCACATCTTGAATAATTATACAATAAAAGAAAATGCACACATTAAGTGTATACAAAAAAATCTTATTTTCACATTTTAGAGAACTGTTTCATGTGGCCTAAAAAAAAAAATGTAAAAGCTCTACTGCAAGTGCTGCATGTGTGAGCCACGCTTTATTGCAGGTATAAACTCGATTTATCGCCTTACAACTTTAAGATAAATTTCACACTGCTTGACATTTTATGTCAACAAAACACTCAGTTCCAGCCCATTAAACACAGATCAGGTTATTAAATAATGACAGTGTGGTAATTGCGCTGTCTCATGGTGAAGCAGGAATGCAGCATTGCACCACACAGATATCTGCATGCCCTGCACTGACAGCAATGACGCTACCATGCAAGTATGAAAGGGGGGAGGGGGGTTGTGCTGCAGCAGATGGGCTGGAGTGGGGATGAGAGGCTGCTGCTGATCTCAGCTCTGTGCAGCCTTCCACCTGCTCGGTAGTAACAAAAACCACATCTTCATAATTTAAGAGCTGTCAGCTTGACACACCCCGAGGGTCTGATTACATTCAACACCACACTATAGGGTGGCCAGAAATAAAGACTGCATTTTCGATACGGAAGGAAACCTGGAGTCATCTGAAAAAGGAAATCATCCTTGGGTAAAACCATGTTCAACATTTGTTTAAAACGATTATACATAAAACAAATCAATTTATGAGGATTTGGGTATTAAAAACAACATTTATACGAGGCTATGAATAATCAGACGCTCTCAAGATGGGAATGAAACTAGATAGTTTGTTGTAAGTTATGGCAGTGATGCTGAGGTGGAGTTTCTTTGCTCAGAGACAAATTATGTAAATGTTGCAGGTGAATATGGTAAAAAACACATTTTAAATAACTAGAGACTCTCCAAATAAATTACATTGAATAGGCCACTAATTGTATGCATTACAAGTTATCTCATTAGTTATGTTTAAATAGGAAAATAAGGAATGACTTAAGCTAACTTGAGCTTAAGGAATTCTGTATACAAATAAGACAATTTGTGGTAAAATAAACAACTACACTACATGTGTATTTTGGGGTATTTTTCCCCACAGGTCTGAAAAAGACGTGTTTTTTGAAGTGTCTCGAAAAAGGGAGTTAGTATTAAATTTAAGCCATATTATTTCGGAGGGAACGCCCATAATGGGGCTCAGCTTCAATTGTGTGCCCAAAATGGCTGGACGTTTTAGCTAGCACAGTATCATACTTTAGTTTGTCAAGGAGCCGGTGAAACAATGATGCATTTATAATTCATATTGTGGATTATGCAACATAATGCTTAATCATTGTGGGAACAGGAATACAAAAAATTAAATGGATCGCAGTTGTTTTGGCCTACATCCGCATTTTTATCATGCAGATATCCCCCTCCCCCATGGAACTTTCCAGAACCACACGAATCGGCCCAGTTAGCTTCGGCGGCTAACATGCTAAACCCAGCATGCCGTGCAAGTTGTATATGTTAAACGTTAGACTTTGACCACAATTTGTTATTTTCAGGGTAATTCATAATTAAGATGGAATTAAAAAGTGCAGTCGTTTGCGTGTTGTAGTAGTTTCATTGACGCAGCAGGGGTTACTTGGGCTCGTGAGAACAAAGGACGGCGCTGCTAACTGTCTGCAAATTCAGTTAAAATTAGCTGAGCCCGTTAGCCTGTTCGTTGGAGACGAATAACTGATAACCGGGCAGAACGATTCTCTACGACTCACACCAGGACCGCGGGCCTTTTGTGGGCCTCAATGCAATGCAAGTTTGCACTTAAGCTCACCCCATTGTGTGAAAAACAGGCGGTTAATTGTTTTAGATGTATTTAATAACGCCTAAAAAGAATAACACTAAATATTGCGATCCAGAAAACCAAATGGCATTTATAGATTACTCTTCAGATTGCAGCTGAAAATATTTCAATGACAAAATGATTGTGCCGAGATATTAACAAACTGCCAATTATGGCAATAACATTAACTATGTTTAAAATCTAAAGAACATGCTCCGTATTTACGAATGAATAAAGCCACATCTGCACTTGCGTCAAGTCCCGTTATGCTGCTGGTTAACGCTGGCTCTGAGCCAAGGCACACACACGTGCACATGGTCCATTCAAGGAAACAGTATTCGTGACAGCTCGGCTTTCGTTACCGCGTGTCAACTAAAAGTTAACATTTTAAACCAGGGTGCAACTTGTAGCAGCCCAAAGAGACTTAATGCTTGTTATAAATAAAGACAAAGTACACAGTGATGGCTAAATGCCCGCAAGGACAATAACCAACGTGTCTGACAGTGAGGACTCCCAGTTATAAATACTTGGCATCATTGAGACGGTTTACCTCCATAATAATCCGGCCCATGGGTTTATCGTCAAGGGTGACATCGAAGAAGACTCTTGGCCGCGACATTTCAGCAGGATGAGTTGACGAGTGTGGACTGAACTGGTTTTCCGGCGATGGGATACGACTGACCGAAGGAACCGAGAAAAGACGGTGGTCTGTGAAATAATTTTATATTATACGACGGTAGGCGGCGTAAAGCCACAAGGAGCCAACTGGTATCGATGTAGTATTTGATTGGCACCCGTTTTAGCGAATCAGCAGCTGAACAGCTGAACCCCCTTTTCCACTGGGCAGTCACATTTTAAGTCCTACTTGAAAAGTACAGCAGAGTGGGCCGATTTGGGCGGAGGTTGGAAGTTATAAGGTTTGCTTAGACACCACCCCCGTTTCTTTGTCAGGGTGGAGAAAACCTTCTCTCCCCAGGACCAGGGAAACGCGCGCCACGGATAATTGACAGCAGGGGCGTCCAATACTAGCAGCGCACGCGAAGGGGTGAGCGTACAGTCCCGAAGTCAGCGCTCGCTCCCACTGTCAGGGGGAAAATGTGAATGCGCAACCACGCGGTCAGGGCGCGGTTCGCCCGGTGCTCCGCATAAAAAACTAGGTTATCACGGAAAGTTCACCATGTCTAAAGTTTGTTTTGTCTTTAAAACCAGACGTTTTTCACGTTTCATTTGGCAATAACTTTGGTTGTTAAGGCAAAATCCTAATAATAATTCAATATTTGGTATTTTTGATCAGGACTGAAGTTGATTGAAAGATTCAATGGCAAAAAGTTTTAAAAAATACTAATTTGTTATCATTTTATAGCCGTTTTTGGAAGTGGACATTTTTGTCCCGAATGACTAATTAGGGATTTTTTCGTTTAATCTGATTCTGTGCAAAAAATAATAATGCATACAAATCCATGTTGTTGCTAATCTTTGACAAAAAAAAAGCAAGTCCCCAGATATGTATTATATGGAAAATAAGTAACACATTTTCTCTGTTTTTATCATGAAAAACAACAGCGATTTCATTTATTAAAAATGGCACTTAAAGGGTTAAAATCATGAAAATGATTAAATATTTGGTATTTTTTATTAGGGCTGAAGTTGCTTTAAAGATTGAGCACAAAGAAGTGATGAAAAAAATATTCACTGAACTGTGGTATTGGATTGTAGATTTTAGAGGTGAATCTTAAAGCATAGCTAAGATGTAAACTGTAGCCAACCAGTAGATACACCCTTATAATTATTTTTATATTATTCACATTGGTAAAATAAGCCAATAAAACCTACATTTTAAGCATGTTTCCAACAACGGGGACAGTTGGTCAACTTTATAATCCCTGAATATCAACAAGCGCTCTGGGGCCTCATTTATAAAGGGATATACGCTCAAAAAATGGCGTACGGCAGTTTCTACGCAATGTTTGCGATTTATAAAATACTAATTTAACGGGAAAACGTGCGGTCCTCCACGCAAACTCTAACCCATGCGTACGCACTAAGCACAAAAACGGGAGAGACGAGAAACTGCGAAAGAATGGAGAAATATGTAGAAATAATACCATAAATAAAATGTCACCTCTCATTTATCATATACGAAGAATTCATTTTCAAACATTGATTAAAGCCAATCTTAAAATTATTTAACAAACGCCTGTTTGAGACTCCTCAGTGCACACAAAAACATAACTTGGAGAAATAAATAAATACGGATATGTTATTTAAAACCACCACATTAACACATATGTTGTGTTAATGTTATGAAATGTGAGATGCACAGGCTGCAGTGCGCTGCGCACAGCTGATCGACAGCTGGGACACAAACCACCAAATACAAAAACATAATTCAGATCCAGTCGTCATGACTCCACTCCGGAGGGATTCCCCGATCATTTCTTACAGTTTCTCATCAAGGGGGGCAGGGGGGGTCTCCTGTCCCCGGTACAAACAAACTGCCTGAGGAAGGCTATGTGTATGTTTTTTGTCATTAACCTTTTTCGGACCACTTATTTATTTATGTTGGTGACGATCCGACCTCCATGCTGCTACTCTGGTTACAAAATGCATCCACCAAAGGATATGATAATCTCGACCCTACCCCAAAATAACCAAAATCTGACACGGAGTGAGATGTTTTTTTAGCTGTTCTGTCGTCATTTCCTGCTATCTTCTTCATAAAGTCAGTCAAAATGAATGAATGAAAGGGCGTTTCTTTGACTATTTATAGGCAAATATGGGCGTTACGCGAAGCCCGCAAAAGCTGCACCGCATTTCGAGTCGGTTGTGATTTATAAAGGGAAACCGGCGTAGGAAGTGTCATACGCACTTTCTTCGCCGGTACGCAATGTTTGGTGAATCGGAAAGTGGCGGAAAATGTATGGACCTATTTTTAGGATTTCTACTACGTAAGCAACCTTCCCACGTCAATCCTACGCACGGCGTTATAAATGAGACCCCAGGTCCAGTCCAGAGACCAGGGGCCTCATTTATAAAGGGATATTCGCTCAAAAAATGTTTCTACGCAATGTTGCGATTTTATAAAATACTAATTTAACGGGAAAACGTGCGGTCCTCCACGCAAACTCTAACCCATGCGTACGCACTAAGCACAAAAACGGGAGAGACGAGAAACTGCGACACCGTTGGCATAAGGAAGAATGGAGAGAAATATGTGGAAATAATACCATAAATAAAATGTTACCTCTCATTTATCATATACGAAGAATTCATTTTCAAACATTGATTAAAGCCAATCTTAAAATGATTTAACAAACGCCTGTTTGAGACTCCTCAGTGCACACAAAAACATAACTGGGAGAAATAAATAAATACGGATATGTTATTTACAACCACCTCGAATATGTTGTGTTAATGTTATGAAATGTTTTCTCATAAATGATGCGGTAAGCAGGAGGACAGAATTACGTCTAAACTGACGCCGTTTTGCATTCCTATAGGTTGTTCTCCGGAGGGATTCCCCGATCATTTCTTACAGTTTCTCATCAAGGGGGTGTCTCCTGTCCCCGGTACAAACACACTGCCTGAGGAAGGCTATATATTTTTTGTCATTAACCTTTTTCGGACCACTTATTTATTTATTTTGGTGGTGATCCAACCTCCATGCTGCTACTCTGGTTCAAACTGCATCCACCAAACAATATGATTTATCTCGACCTCCCCAAAATAAACAAAATCTGACACGGTGTGAGATGTTTTTTTTTGCTGTTCTGTCGTCATTTCCTGCGATCTTCTCCATGCAGTCAGTCAAAATGAATGAATGATGAAAGGGCGTTTCTTTGACTATTTATAGGCAAATATGGGCGTTACGCGAAGCCCGCAAAAGCTGCACCGCATTTCGAGTCGGGTTGTGATTTATAAAGGGAAACCGGCGTAGGAAGTGTCATACGCACTTTCTTCGCCGGTACGCTAAGTGTTTGGTGAATCGGAAAGTGGCGGAAAATGTATGGACCTATTTTTAGGATTTCTACTACGTAAGCAACCTTCCCACGTCAATCCTACGCATGGCGTTATACATGAGGCCCCTGGTCCCAACTTTTGCGACACTTTTTAGTGTCAGTACTACTGACACAACCTGCCATATGTTGATCTAACCTGGTTTAACTTTTCTACTGCTGCACTGCACTTTATAGAGTTATACTTATTCCAACTATATTGATTGCAGTTGTTTATCAGTGATTTGCAGTTTAGTACTTTAGTTTTTGCAGCTTCCGTCATTTTTGAATGTTCTGCTGGTATTACTAAAGTAGTCTACTCCTTCTAAATATATCTATCAATGTATCACAAGTAGAGTTGGAGTATTGATTCAGCCTTTGTTTTTGTCTTTAAAAAGTCATCAAATACAGTGGCCAAAAGGGACACTTTTGTGCAACGGCCCAAAACACATACGTTAGGAGAAACTCACTGCAATTTCAAAAATAATGCAAATTATAAAACACGAAAGTGCCAAAACACATGGGCAGGATTTAGAAAAAAATCATCAACTTGAGGAAACATGAGCAGCCTTTACTAAAAGCTGCATAAACCAAACACTTTATAAATGTAATGTATTATTATTATTAAATTAAAAAAACACTAATCTCAAAACCCATCGGAAACCATGGGACACTAAAAAGTGTCGCACAAAGCTGGGACCAGAGCGCTTGTTGATATTCAGGGATTATAAAGTTGACCAACTGTCCCTGTTGGAAACATGCTTAAAATGTTTTATTGGCTTATTTTACCAATGTGATCACATGATTCCTGCTGATATTATTGCAGACCTGCTCTAAGCTAGCTAGCTAACGTGGCTAATTTAGTCATTAAATATAGGGAAAAAAACACAATTATGAAACAGCCTAACTCTGCCAACAGTAACAGTTGGCCAACTTTTTAAATACCTAACGTCAACAAGTGTCAACCAAAATGTTTTTGTAAACCGTTTCAGCGCGTTGTCGTGCACCGTAATAAAACACTGAAAATCACAATGTTCACAATCAAATGTCTTGTTCGACCAACACCAACATACAAAGATATTAATTTATTGTGATACAAAACAGAGAAAAGCAGCACATATGAGAAGCTAGAACTGGATCATATTTGGTATTTCTGCTGGTTTAAAATAATTCTAGCAAATTCTAGCTAATACCTCTGCTGCTGTAATGTTTTATATTTCAGCATGGGATTAATAACGGATTTTAAATGTAATCTCCCTTTTGATTATTTTTCATGTTTTTTCCTCCAGACTTCTTCGCAAACATTTCATTCAGCTTATGCATAACTGACTATTAAAATAGCCACTGTGTGTCTTTCCAGTGTGTGTTTATTAAATTACAAATGGTTTGTCATTGACATTATTACTAAATCATACAGTGTGATCATGTACAGATTTATTTTTGAGACATGGAGACACCACAACTGTCAGGACTGTAGTCACTTCACAACAAACAGGATAATGAGGAGGAGGATGAAGATGACCCCTCAGTAACTCAAACATAACAAACGGCTCTTGGGGGAGCTCTGTAATCTCAGAGCAACAGTTCTAGGCATTAACAGAAACTTTCCAAGCTTTTTGTCACATTTTTCTTCTGCTGTTAACATCACCGTTCTTCGTGAAGGTTGTCAAAACAAATGTGCCAAAAAAAGTTGCTCTATAGACTGTCTTTG